CATTCGGCTTATTCTGCTCCGACTCTTTCATGACCGGCTTCTCTTTTTCCGGTTCTTTGTTAACCGGCTTTTCTTGTTCTGCTTCTATCAGCTTCACCGGCCTTTCTTGCTCCGTTTGTTTCGGTTTCTCCTGTTCTGATTCTGTCTTGATAGGCTTTTCTTCTCCCGGTTCATTCTTAACTGGTTTTTCTTGTCCTAGTTCCACTCCCTCCACCGACTTCTCTTGTTTCGTCTTTTCCAGCACCTCTCCTGTTTTTTTCACATTCACAGGCTTTCCTAGTTCCGTTTCTTTCGGTTTTTCCTGTCCCGATTTATTTTTGGTTGGCTTTTCTTTCTCAGATTCCTTCTTAACAGGCCTTTTCTTTTTCAGTTTTTTCATTCTTACCGGCTTTTCCTCATCCGTCTCTTCCGGCTTTTCCTGTTTCGGTCCCTTCACCCTCACCCACTTTTCTTGTCCTGCCTCACCCGGCTTTTCCTGTTTTGATTCTTTCTTAACTGGCTTTTCCTGTCCCGATTCTTTCTTGGCTGGCTTTTCCTCTTCCAGTTCTTTCACCGCTACTAGCTTTCCTTCTAATTTTTCCTGTTTCGATTCTTTTTTAACCGACATCTCCTGTTCCCGTTTGGTCTTGCTCCGCTTCTTCTGGTACGACTTCTTCACCGCCATTGGCTCTTCTGCCGTCGCTTTCAGCTTTTCTTGTTCTAGTCTCTTCTTTTCTGACTTCACAAGTTCATTTTCATTATCCATCTCATCCGATTGCTCCGAATATGATCTCATTTCTGCTTCGGCTGCTTTCACGGTATCAGTCTCCAATAAAACGTAATCATCGCTGCTCACAGACTCCGTTTCGGGATTCATTTTGAAAAGTTGTTTCGGCATGGAGCTGACTGGCTTCGCTAGGACAGAAATTCTGCAGTTCTCGATAAAAAGTTCTGTTGGGGAACCAGCTCGCTGACAGAAAAGAATGCAGTGTAAAAACGATTTCTGTGAGGAAAAGGAGGAGTAAAGGTCAAGCAAGAAGGTCGATGTTTCCCTTACGCCCCAGTGCTTATAGCTCAGCTGTCGCTCAGCTGTAGAATGACCTCCAACACACTGTCCACCTCATCCTCTCACATTCGCAGTTGCGGGGACCTGCAGTGTTCCTGTTTTTGTGTATTCTAACCTGCCATACCAACGATATGCATG